GTCTTGGTTTTAAATCTGCCACTATGCTGACACATAGGCATTTGTAGTTTCGTCCTTTTTCTGAAAAGAAGCACAATCTCATTTGAAGTGACAGTCACCAAAAATGACATTGTTATCAAAATCTAAATGGGACAGTTTCAAAATTCTAGAACATTATATATAGAGTATTTTGAGCTGAAACTTTACATAAGCAACTCTAGAGACATCAGAGACTTATTTTAAATCTTGTAAAATGGGCATAATAAGTCCCCTTTAAAGAGATATGAAGCAAAACATCTGGCTGTGGACTGAGGTGTTTTTGTCAGTGTGAAAAGGGTGTTTATTTACACTACCAAAGTAAACTAGATTCTTAAAGTTTGAGAACAAACTTTGAGGCTGGCTTGTGAAAGCCTGATGGTAATAGATAGATAGATAGATAGATAGATAGGGGTGTGGCTAGAAAGTTAAAAGCTCATCAGTTATTGGTAGTTTGGTAGTCTGAGTTAAATTAGCTCAGTTAGAAGTTTGCGCGACAGTCTGATGTAGAGTTATGAGCTCACAAAGTTTGACCCCATGTAAAGTCAATGAGAGTCTTTTGCAGTGGAAGTCTATGGGACAGTTTCTAGGGTCCCAAAAGTGGTTGCTAGGGTGTGGCCAGAAAGTAAAAAGCTCATCAGTTATTGGCAGTTAGGTAGTCTGAGTTAAATGAGCTCAGTTAAAAGCCTGTAGGACAGTCTGATGCAGAGTTATGAGTTCACAAAGTTTGGTCCATTGTTAAGTCAATGGGATTTTTCAGATGGTCCCGAGACGTTTTTCGGAAAACCAAAAGTCGGATCAGTCGGAAAAGATATAGCAACCCGAGTCAGACCAGTTTGGAGGTCTGGTGTGAGTTTGGTGGTCATAGCTTGAAAGCTCTAGGAGGAGATAGAGTTTAATTTTTTGTCTCAGAAGAAAAATAGGATAACAATAGTCTGGCTTGCTACACAAGCCAGCCTAATTAAAGACTTTTCACATAGACATTAAAGATTCTTATTAAATCATGTAAAATGAACATCTCATGTCACCTTTAACAACTTTTATATTTAAAACTACATTATTTCAGCAATCTAAACAGTTGTGTAAAACCATTCATTCCACCTCTGAGCTGCATTAAAATCATAAGCTGCGTCCCAAATCGCATACTTATGCACTATTCTACGCCATTTTGTAGTATAAATAGTGTAAGAAGTGCGTTCACACTGAAAACACTAAAAATAATAAGAGCACTTCAATTACCCGGATGATGCACTCATTCAGCCGCTAAAATGAAGTGTGGAATGATGGACACTTCACGCACTCAACGACCGCAGGTTTGCTTACGTAGCGGAAGGGGCGGAGCTATCGGACGCACATGTTAAATAAATTTATTTATTTTGGATGGTGAAAGCAAAATTCTCCTACGAGAGTGATTATAGCGCCTCCCGATGGTGAATGCGGCAATACTCACGGCAGGTTTTATTTGATAGTTTGGTCATTTATTTCAATGATTTGGCAACCGTCAAACGTCATCAGGGAAACGGTTTGAATTTCCGCTTAGTAAAAAAACATTAGTGTGCCATTTGGGACAACACTACATACATATACTTTTCTGTTGAGTGTGTAAGTGCATAAGTACATAGTGCATGAGTGCATAGTGTATAGTGTGCCATTTGGGACGCAGCTTGTGACATTGGCACGGTGCTATAGACTAAAAAATATGGATGTAGTATCTGTGACGTCACTCATAAGCTGCGTCTCAAATGGCACACTATGCACTCATGCACTATGTACTTATGCACTTGCACACTCAACAGCATAGTATATAGTGTTGTCCCAAATAGAGCACTAATGTTTTTTTATTAAACAGAAATTCAAACCGTTTCCCTGATGACGTTTGATGGTCTTCAAATAGGTGAAATAAAAGTTATCCAACATGTGTGCCCGATAACTCCGCCCCTTCCTCTACATGAGCAAAGCTGTGACAGTTGAGTGCGTGAAGTGTCCATCGCTACACACTTCATTTTACCGGCCGAATGAGTGCATCATCCGGGTAATTAAAGTGCACTTTATATTTTTAGGGTTTTCAGTGTAAACACACTGCTTCCACTATTTATACTACAAAATGGTGTAGAATAGTGCATAAGTATGCGATTTGGGACACAGTTATAGGTTTCTGAAGAGTGCAAATGAGGCTACAAGTAGCCGTGGCTAACTGTCGCCATTTTGTTTGTGCGTCATCGCACCCACCAGGGGTGACCAAATAAGGGCAAAGAGGCGGAGCATAAGTAGAAATAAAAATGCCTGCTAGGTTTTGCTTTGACAGGCTTTTCTTTGAGAGAAACGCTTAATACTTCATTACCTGCGACTCATTTGTGTTCTGACACATCAACACCTTGGAATTATAAGGTTCTATCTGTATTTTAAGATATTGAGTTTTTGCATTCCATAGCAGAGTATGTGTGCAGCATTTGTTTTTTACGTAAAAAGTAAAAAAAAAAAAAAAAAAGTAAACAACATCTAAACAAAAAGCATCACATAATGTAAATAAGTTGTCATTAAATAAGAAAATGTCAATAACTCAATTTTGACAAAAATATTAGATAGAACGTTATAATCCAAAGGTGCTTGGTTGTACACTATGTCAATAAAGTGTTTAGTCTTTTAAAAACACTGTCGTAATACAATGAGCCACTAAGCATTGTTCTTGTGATGCTTTTCTACAGAAGGAAATTACAAATTACTTCCAAACACTTCAAATATAGTCTGTATTAGTAAATGGAAGGCTATTTATAAAATCCAGGCATAACACAGTATGACAGCGGTTCAGATGACTGTTCTAGAGCCTACAGGGAATCAATCTGTCAGATTCTGGAGTGCATTACAGGTCTAAAGAAAAATATAAATGATCTTAAGTAAAACAAATACATTTTCACACATGGTATATAAGAATTTCACTCACCTGGGAAATAGAGGCAACATGAGTGGCTTGTGAGCACATAGCATGCCATGTCATTTGATAATTGTAGGAAATAATTCCAAAAGCAATTAACGGTGTAAAGCCACATAAAACAAAACAAAAATAGGATGTATATGCCAAGTTCAGCGTCCAATCAGCCGGAATCAGCTGAGGTGATGAGACAGCAAGTGGCCACGCCCTTAATTATGCAGACTTCATATGACTTAATAACCCCCCCCCCCCCCCCCCCCCCAGCCCCCAAAGGCCAGTCGATAAATTGCAGTTTTAGTTACTTCCGTATTGGCTTCATGAGGGAGATCGGGAGGTTGCTGCATGACTGTAACTTCTTTTTCTAATCAAAAGGCCACTTCAGATGCAGCTTCTATGCCAGCTCTGCGTTGCTTTATTTTATTGATTCTCTTCGTTGACAGGGCAAATACAATCCCATAAAAGTGCAGAGAGGGGTGTATATTAGCTCTGCATATAATTCTACTGACAATTCACAATTTATAAATAAATAAATGAACAGTTCATTTCTGTAATGACCAATGTGATCTGCCAAGAGCAGCACAAAATGCTTTTTAAGAGGGTGTTAAGTAATGGTGCCAATACCAGTAAACAAAGTGCCACAAAGCTTACTAAATCACTTTGCATGATTATTTTGAAATGCTTTCTGCCATAAATTTTGCAACTGAATGTGAAACATCTATAAATGCATATGTAATAAAGTTGCAAAACTCTGTCCATGCATTTCATTGGTTATTTCTTTTTTACGATCTCTAGTAAATACTAACAGTATTTTTTAGGCCCAAAAGAGTCTGCGATGTGCAAGCGCTTACTTAATTGATCCCAAATTGCCTTATTCTGAAAACGGTAATGCAGATAATGACTTCTAATCAAACTAATTGAAGAATTTTGCTAAATTGCTAATAAAGATGGTAATATGAAGGTAAAACGTTTATTTTGTACAATTATTAACATTTATTAAATGGGGACAATATTAATATCTAAACTACATTAACTGCTGCTCTGCACAAGAAGTTTGGCCAGAGGAGAAAGGGTCGTGCCCAACTGAGCCTGGTTTCTCTCTGGATTTTTTTTTGCTTAGCTTTCGTCAATTGTTGAAGTTTGTTCTCGCCGCTTTCACCACTGACTTGCTTGGTTTGGGACTTGTGGAGCTGCACATTGATGGATTTTGCTCTTCAGTTTTTGGACTTTCAACATTGAAAATTAATTCACACTGAACTGAACTAAACTGAACTTCAACTCTGAAATCTGAACTGATACAGTTTCAATTTACTAGATCTTCTATGCAAAGCTGCTTTGACACAATCTACATGGTAAAAGCCCTATAGAAATAAAAGATGAATTAATATAAATACAGTGTTTGCATTTGCACTACCATATTTTCCAGGGTAATTTTCAAATTTGACAAATAACCATTGTAAAGCCTAATAAGTTAAGGTAACTCAAACCATTTGAGGAAATCGATTGCAACAAACCATTTCAGTTCAAAAACTAACCCTAATAAGTACAGTGAACTTAATTTGAGTAAATGAAGCAACATGAGCACAGTAAAACCCAATAAATGAAGAGAACTAAAACCAACTGAGTACTGTAAAACCCAATAAGTTAAGGCAACTCAAACCGTTTGAGGAAACCGATTGCAACAAACCATCTGAGTTAAAAAACTGATCTATAAGAGTACTGTCAACTAACTCAATTTAAGTTGAAGTAACAAGTTATTTAAGTAACTCATTACCTTCAACACTGAGTTTAAAACTCTTTTCAAATAAGTAGAATTAACGTCCAGTAAATTCTGAGTTAATTACAGTCATTTCACTTGATGACGTTGACTGTTGGGTTTTACTGTGTGTTAACAATTTGATCGGTTTATTCAAAAACCAAAAATGTGTTCATTTCTCACCACGACTGTAGATAAACAGGAAGTCACATGGGTTTAGAACAACTTAAGAGTGAGTAAATGATTACAAAAACATTCACTTTAGTGATATCAGACGTGGTATGAAGAAACATACAAATAAAACATTTTTACTCAAGGAGCATGATCTTTATTTCCCCTCGTGAAAGGATCTCAGCATTTAACTGAATATGACAAAAATTGGTATTGTGATCACACATTGGGAAACCGTATAGCACTGAAAAACGACTATAACAAAACAGTTCACTTTTCAATGTCAGTAATAATATCAACAATAGCCAAAGATCTGACTACAAATACTAAATAGTCACAATTAGTTTTTAGTTTTTTCCTTCAAAGGCAAAATGACGACACTCATTACAAACACCCATGTTAAACATCAGGACTATTACTCTGGATATTGCTATACTTTTAAATGGCATATACTGTAGGACCATGACGACTCTCTGATGTAGCTGGATGGTTCTAGAACAATCCACATAGTGGACTTCAAAACAGAACCTAAATGGAGACTTTGGTTCAAGGTATCTGTCAAAAGAGGGTGCTTCATACTGCATTTCCAAACAGGAAGTTTTACTTGAAGAATTCAATCTAATAACAGACATTCTTCAAAAAGGAACAACAAGAATTGAAAGGCACAACACTTAAGTTTCTATATAATAATAATCTTGTTGAGTAGTAGTAGTGCACGGCAGTGTGAGATCATTTTTTGTTGATTCTAATTGCTTTCATCTACGTAACTCAAGTCTGTATGTTTACAGAGGCTCTAAAGCACAGGTGTCAAACTCAGTTCCTGGAGAGCCGCAGCTCTGCACAGTTTAGTTCCAGCCCTAATTAAACACAGCTGATCAAACTGAGTGCTTTAGGCTTGTTTGATACTTTTGTTTCGGAACCTGGCGCCTTTTCCCAGTTAGCACGGTTCGCTTGGCATATGTGAATCCAGCAATCGTGCTTAGATCCGCATCAAAACAATCGATCCAAGATCGCAGGTCTCATCAAGATTCAAACAAACTTTGGAGCAGATCGATTCTAGTGAGAAAGCATTACAATCCGACACAGGCTACATCACAGTGTATGATGGATATGTAATAGCCGTTTATGACTATATAAAGAGAGAATGATGAGTAGGGCAGGATGTCATTCTTACCGGTAAATGTGTGTTTTATGTCCAATGCAAAAGTGAAAGCATGTTTACTATTAACAAGAGCTGTTTATCCTTTAGAAAAATCGACCAAACAGCAGTCTTGGTTTATCTGTTATTACTCTTCGGTTTATCTCTTTACTAGTGTAAAGCCTATAATGCATAGGCCAACTGCTATGTATGAGAAAAACTTACCTCTGATTTATATTTGTTGACGATGTCTGTGGGTGTCTCCACTTAAAATGAACGCGCAGCTTTTCGCTTATAATGTCTTTTTGCTCATTGTCATACATTAAAATAAGGACGCATGACAGCTGAGCGGGACTCTGCAAAGAAAAACCCTGAAACTCTGACCAATGTGAGGAGAGTTTACTAGCACGTGACTTGTTTTAGTCATTTTGGTCCATTTAGAAACTTTGCCGTGTGAAAGCGAACCGCACAGAGAACAACGTGCCACATTTGAACACTTTGAATCCGTGTTTCGGAAAAAGAAAATTGATCCACAGGTGTGAAAGCACCCTAAGTGTATTGAAGCAAGGCTGGCACTAAACTCTGCCGAGCTGTGGTCCTCCAGGAACTGAGTTTGACACCCCTGCTCTAAAAGCATATGTATTTGCAGGAAAGCTATGTATTGTAACCTTGTTTTACTCCAAGCTACTTTGAAGACTCTGAAGTAGGTAGTGTGATTTTGAAAGTCAACATGAAATCAAATCAACCCATTTCGTTTAGCATTGTTTAGGAACATCATTCACATAAATCAGAGGATACTATTACGAAGAAGGTTTGTTTTGGTATTCTTTCATTGCGCCACGTCTTAAATATTAGATTTTTCAGCTGACATCACATCGGTTATACACACAAATGTCAAACAGTGCCATTTACACTAGTGCACTTTTGAATAAAAAGTTTTTTTTACAGCATCTTTACCCACACTATTCAACCAAGCACATGATACGTGACCATTCATGCTATTTTGCCAGTATCCATACTTGCAGTCTACTGGTTTAGTTTTGGTCATATGAGAGATACTTGACCATTCAGGGAACTTTATACAAATCTTCGAAAGACCAATCAAAGAGCTATGGTGGATAGCCATGCCTCTGCATTCATAGTTAGTTTCAGTCCCTCTATTTAAGGGGTGGCTAAACTGAGTCCGGGACAGCCGGTGTTCTACTTAGTTTTGTTTCAACCCTAATCAAACACACCTAGGCTAGCTAATCAAGCTCTTACTTGACCGGGGTCCCGGCCCACAAGGGGGCCTCAGTGAGCTCTGTGGGGGGTCACGTCATATTTTTAGCAGTGGACAATTAGGAGATTGATCACGTTGCCTTAGTTCATTTTATTCCCTGGGTGCCAAAAAAAAAAAAAATACATATTTGTAATTCATCCTCCACAAAAAAAGCATAAATGCTAATGACCCAAGCATACTGGACCCAGGTGAGGAAGCTCTAGCGACAGCAATACTGGAAACACGAAAGGCAGGAGGTTGTTACCTGAACTGTGGTTTTATTTCATTCTATTGATGCAAAGCCACAGAGCATTGTCTGCAGCAAAGTTCTTGCTAACGAATGAGGCCGTAAAAAAATTAATAAGACATTTGCTGACGACTCACCCCCAATACCGTAACAAGCCCAGAGCCTTTTTTGAGGGCAAGGCAAAATAATTAACACACAATCCAAAATGAAAAAATGTGCCACTAATTGGCAACTAATATAAGGCTTATTTAAAAGCCAAAAGGCTTATGTTTTTCAGCTACAAATGGCCTTCTGATATTTTGCTTTTATATTTTACATTAGATATTATTTGTGCATAAACATATATAGATATAATAATAAACATATCATTTTTTTTTGTCATCCTTACTGCAAACTTACATGTGCAATAATATCATTAAATGTTGACAATATTTTTCAGGGGCAAAGAGGGTCTCAAAAAGGTTGGGAACCACTGTTCTAGAACAATGGTACTAAACTCAATTCCTGGAGGGCTGCAGCTCTGCAGAGTTTAGCTCCAACCTCCTCCAACTCACACCTGCTTAGTCTTTAGTGGTCTCGAACACCTTGATTAGTTGGATCAGGTGTGGTTGATCAAGGTTGGAGCCCTCCAGGAATCCAGTTTGATACCTATGTTCTAGAATTATCCATGCAGGTGGGTTAAGGAAAGTTGGAGCTCAAACCAGAAGGGCATCGGCCCTTCAGAACTGAGTTTAGACATCCTAGATATAGAGGGAATGAAACTAACTATAAATGCAGAGGCGTAGCTATCCACAATAACTCTTTGATTGGTCTTTTGAACATTTGCAAAATAAAATGGGGGCTTCTAGCGTTCTCTAAGTGCTCAGTTTCTGACAGAGTAGCGTTAATGCCAGGCCTAATTGTAACAAAACGCAAGTGTTTCAAAATGAGTACATTTACACATAAGTGTAAATGACACTCACAAGTAATACTTTAGATTCAAGGTTCAGTTTAACATCGCTTGGTGCTTTAGGTGTCATAAACTAACAAAATAATAATTGTTTGCAGCATTTATGAATTATATTAGATTGTTTTATGAGTTGTTAAAATATTTGTTGCCAAGTAGGTTGTATGTGTGTCCAAGACAAAAAGGGCTTTTCAAGCATCAGTGTGCCTTTTTTTGACCAAAAAATAATAATAATAAAAAAAGTCACGTCTCGTGTCTCACACACACCAAATCTTTTGAGTGCAGTTTCATGTTGACTTCAACATTATTTCTAATAATTATGTTTCATTCCTTAGATAAATTCTTATATTTACACATTTCTCTTAATTAGTATTTAAAAATCACACAATACTACTAATAATGAAAACTTGAGTAGCTACTGATCATTTAAGGAGAAAACAAACTACTTATAAAAACACTGAAACTCGTGGAACTATTATATAGGAAAAGGAATATTGCTTTAATACTGATTTTTAAACTCTATGGTAGCTGCACTACATTTCAACTGTGCTTACTGGAGAAAAAAAGAAAACACTAGCGCATCTCACAAACATCTCTGAACACCAAGGTCTGTAATGGTCTACCACAGGATCAAGTGCACGTCTGTAGGTTTGTAAAATGTGGTGTAAACCACCGCGTCTTGTTCGTCCCTGAGGGCGCTTATTTCGCCACATCTTCAGCCTGAGAACCAGCCTCAGAGTGCTGTATTTCATGTTTAGTTCACGAGGACACAGCCTTGTGGAGCCTCTACGGTCTCCATCATCTCGCAGTCCAGGAAAGGGGCTTCAGGTGCGGGTTGAACTGAAGGGGTCTCAGCTTTACCTGGGGGCAGAGGAGGCTGGGCAGGACTCCATGCGTACTGGGGCTCTGTAGGAAGGGATGGGGTGTAGTTGCTGAGGTTTTCGGGTGGCGGAGGCCACTCTGGGAAGCGGGCAGACTTGGGACTGTATGACAGGGATGAGATGCCAGGCTCCAAAAAAGGGGTTAGGGTTTGGGTCCTTGTAAAGGGAGGGCTGGGTTGGGGGCTGCTGCTGATCTGAGGGTCCTGGGCAGGGTAAGCGTCCTCAGCCAGCTGCATCTGGTGGAAGTAAGCCTGAACCTGAGACTGCTTCTGGAGGTAGAGCCTCTTCTGTTGGAGTCTGCGAAACAGGATAACAGATAAGCTGAAATTCTTCAGGACAAGCTTCGGGACGTCATTGTTCTATGAATGCGGTTGTTCCTGACCTGTGTTCCTGGAGTTGTTGCTCTAAAGTGCGCGGTGCAGCCTCTTTACAAAACATCTGGCCACTTCCAAGGCCGCTTGCCAACTGACTGGCTCTCTGAATTCAAAAACAAAAACAAGCCATTTTTATATTTGTAAACTCTAAAATGGTGCTAATATTGACATCATTTACTTCATAGCTTAAGCCATACAGTATATATACACACTTGATATTGCACACAGACCCTGAGCGTGCGTCAATACTAAGGATGTCTAGATCCGATCACATGATTGGAAATCGGGTCTGATTACGCGAGTATGCGCGAGTATGTCTACCGTCTGAAAACGACAACATTGCCTTAGCAAACTGTGAGATATGTAAACTTGGGTATTTTAAGTTGAGGTGCTGTTTGTTTTTATATTAGATTTAAAAAAAATATTTACAATATTTTGGTGTATACGGTGAATTAAATAACAAATAAGGAACATCCTGGATCGGTTTCTTCATTCTTCTTTATCGTTTTGTTTATGAAATATAATAAAAACAAAACAAAACAAAACAAAAAACGTAAAAAAAACCTTAAACAAACCATAGGAAGGGTATAAGAGTAAATGTTGGCAGTTTTAAAACCTTGACTTTTCTAAACGGCTAAAAATGGGTCTCGTTCCATGCCTAGTATCACTGTGTCCAAACAATTTTCACAAAAACTCATATTGCATGTGTGGACAATGCAACCTTTCGACCATGAGAATGGGCATCGTTTATGTCTGCAGAAGGCAAAAACGACTGAATCTATGTCTGTGCTGCTATTTGGAAAATTTGTATAACACTGCCAATTGGTGATTTATTGCACTGTGGTGACTCCTGATAATGTGTAAGTGAGTGAATTAGTGAATAGCGCTGGTCAAAGTGTGCGAAGTGAAGAGTGGGGGGGAAGGTGCGCGTTAACTGAAGAGTTGAGAGTGGGTATGAAGATGGTTGCACGTTGGGTTCAGTGCAAAAGGGGCTGTACCAAAAAGTTGTGGAATTCCGGGAGATTTCCGGGAAACAGAACAATACAGGAGAGGGGCGAGAGATGGGTCTGAAATATGGCACACTCCCAGGAAAAACAGGAGTGCTGGCAGGTATAATGCAAAGAAAGCATGGTTTTAGGGATCACGTTAGTGTTGAGGCCACTATTTCATGATGATGCTGTGAAAAAGAGCAAAAGCCTTCTATGATTAAGCATAGATTCACCTTCTACAACTTCTTAGGAGCTTAAAACAATGCTTTAGGTGCACAAACAGTGCTTTACGTGCTCAGCAGCAGCAGCGCACAAAGCTATTGTTTTATAATAATGGAGATGACGAACTTATGATTGAAATGCTTCATTTTATTTTAGTGCTCCTAACATTATCAGATCTAAACCTGCATAAACTAATCTGAACAAGCGTATAAACTCTCATTGGTTTTTGACCAATGTTTTTGTTTTTTCCTGTATGGATTAGATGTTATATAATGCTATCTCAGCAGAAATGCTATTTTTATAATACTGTTTTGTGAGGTCTGGATTAATGACGTGGCTTTTCTATGTCTATTAGTTTATTCAGTGGATTAAAAGTGACTTCTTATATAAATTTATCAAAGAAAAAAACTGATATGAAATGTTCAGAAATTCAGAAAAGCTATGGAAAAGATGGTGTTTTTTAATGGATCTATTACCTACACTCATTTCAACACTTTCTTCATACATCGCAATGGTCTGTTTTGCAGACACTGACCATGGGTCCGTTCTTCGTACTTCGCTTAAATGATCTAAGATTATTTGGCAGATCCTGGATCTTTTAATCTTGATAACTGATCTCTCGCTAATTTGGTTCTTCAAACAAGTTCGCGAATCATATTAGAATGTCTGGATAAACTGATCTGAGATCGCTGCGTGTGTTGTGAAGGACAGATCTATCGATCCTCGAAATCATGATCAGCAATGCAATGATTGGCTGACGGCACAGCAGCGTAATGACATCATCTGATTTATATTTAATTATCCATGTGAGCAAAATTACATCAAATTAGCAGTAAACGGCTTGTTAAATATGACACGCAATAACCTTCCACATTTGTTGTGAGCTGCAGGCTTTCCATTTTCATGCGTCAAGAGTATTCATCATGTATTTCAATGCAAATCAGTGTATTTAGTTCTACATTTAGAAAAGATTTTCTTTATTATAGTAGCCGTTTTTTAATCGGTGTAAAGAATAACAGGTTGTTTACAAAAGCGTTTTCATATTGGTAAAGGCGTCTGCAACTTTTGAGAAGCATCAAATCACCGGCATATAAACTATCAAAACATGTTTATGACTGCTGAAATGTATTATTGCTTTAAAAAAGTCACATATTGTGCATTTCTATTATACACAATTTATACTAAAGCAATATAAAAAGTTCATATCAATAAGTTTTCTCTTTGCACCACCAGGTGGCAGTCTTTGTACTTTTATTTCGAGGGTGCAGATTGCATACGTTTTATTAATATGTATAACTTAATTTATTTTTTTAATGACTATAACTTTATTATATATATAGTTAAAAAATATGTACCATTTTCCCAAGTGTATATAACTACTACTGTAAGAAAATATCAGAATTCGGAACATACTTTCTGTATTATCTTTGCTTGAATTAAGCCGATCTAATCCTGTTTATATGAATTGAACCTGCTCCTGATCATGTTTGAGCTAGCAGAACTGTTGCTATGAAAACAACTCTCGGATCAGCTTTGAAGAACGAAACGATCCTGGATCGTATCAAATCGTCAATATCCAAATCCAGCTAACTGAGTAATCCACATACGAAGAACGGACCTCATGTATCTGACCCACCTGTAGGCGTTGAGTGAGGTACTGTGTCTCCAGACTCTGTCTCCTAGACAGCAAATAAGGGTGCATTTTTCCAGTGAATGTCGATGGATCTTTTCCACCAAGACATGGCCGTCCTTCTCCCTGAAATTATTATTTTAACATCAGCATAAATCACAGAGAACAAACAATAAAAAACAAAGAAAAACTAAATCATTAATTTCACATTTAAAGGGGACCATATTATAATTACACTTGATAAAAACAGAAAATCTGCAGAAAAACTTTGCACATGTCAGTAGAGGTGGAAAGCCCCACCAATTAGTGACCATCACTCCCTTATTAGCATAACTAGCCCTGGCTAAGATCCAGCTGTCCATCATTAGTTTTCATCTGCTTATAATGATGATAATAGGTGCGTTCGACTTCATGCAGCGCTGTTCAGACTGATTAAAATCTGTCTTAAAGCAGTGCATGCCGGTTAGAAATTTTGTTCGGATTGATGCTGCGCCGACGCCACATAACTATCTCATGTAGCATTAAAGTATCACAACAGCGCTCCGAGATCAGACGATTGATTCAGCCGGTGCAGCATCTACATCAGGACTGCAGGTGCTGTGATGACAACACCGATATTACACGATTGGCTGAGTTCACCGCATGACAATAACCGAGTGCGTTTTGCATTTATTATTGGACAACTTTTGTCTCACAAACTTCCAAACGAACAGTTCACTTTTTAAACCATCTCTATCTTGCACATATCATGCTTGTCATGCAAATATTTTACTGCAGTAGGCCTAATCATCTTTTTTGTAAAATAATTTGTTTCTAAAGGCTTGATTGTTTGCATAGGTCTATTTTCGACCATTTTTTTATTTATTTATTTGAATTAATTGAATACCATTTATTTGAATTTATACCGACAGTCACCAAAACAACACAATTTGGATCAAAACCTTAACGGGACAGGTTCAAAGATACTATACAACATTATTTGTGTGGTATTTTGAGCTGAAACTGCATACACACTACAGAGACATTTTTAAAGACTTTTTTTTACATCTTGTAAAGGGGCATAATAGGACTCCCTTAAGGTCAAAATACTATAATGTATAAAAATATTTATTTATAAAAATGTATTGAAATGATCAAATAAATTGAAAGCAGCACAAATGTGTGTCTGACCTGGTGGTTGAGCGGATGGTGAGGCTCTAGGAGCTCCCGAGGGCTGATCATAGTGTTTCCGCATGCTCCACCATCTCCTAACACGATCTGTGCTTTATTGAGCTCCAGGAAGCCCTTGGTCCTGGCCAGGTTCTGGATGTGATGTCTGAATGCCACCAACCCTGTGAAACCGTGGGTTCAATAAAAATACGGCAGACTTTAGTGAGTGGAAGCGCTGGAGATATTTTTTTGAGTGCTGCAGGGGTGCTCTGACTCACACTCTTCACTACTGCTATAATTAACACAGGAGTGAATCACTCCGATTATTTTCGGCTTTTTAAAAGTGGTCATTATTCACAGAAGGTTAGATATCAATCAGAATGAGGGGTATTCATCTGCTAACAATAAATCCTCCAAAACACAGATTATGACACGTAAATACATGCCTACAGAGAGTAAAGCGGTGGACAGAATTCATACGTGGGCTTCATTCATACGCATTATGGACATGCAGATTGTGTCTTTTTGGATATTATGTTCAAATTTGATGAATTCTAGCCTGTGATCTATTCTTTATAGTAAAGTAACAGTTGACTATGTAGTATCTACAAGTAACAGAATAACGCTTGTTTAAAAATAAAGCATGAAGGGCTTTTTCATTTTTGCAATTTTTCACAATACATCATCGCAGAGCTTGCAGAGGTTCGATTTGGGTTCACGCGACATGATTTATATATTACAATTTTGAATTTAAAGCAATAAATATTTACAAAACTATAATTAGCGAAAAAAAAAAATTTTTCTTTGATACCTGGAAAGGAATATTTGACCCTATCGATTTACAATATACTGATGCCTATTTTTTGGGCTTTATTGGTGATAATGGTCAGGAATGTTGGACCATTATTGCCTTTTTAGCATAAGTATAGAGCAGAAACTAGCCAGACAGTAATGTGTAAATTATGGAGTGGGCTAAATCAAAAAAAAAAAAAAAAAAAATCTGTATTCTTTATTAAGTGTACTTTTTTGCTTTTATTTTTGCCATAATAAAAATATATTTGTAGAGCAAACAATGTTCTGTTGTCATTAATATTTTAATCAATTATAATAAGTAGAATTGTTCAAAATAAAAATCTTGAATGGAAATAAAAATCCTTATAATTATTAAAATAGTTAATAAAGACAATAAAAATCATTTGTTTAAAAATCTTGATCGATATTAATGATATGACGTAGTTCCGGAAACTTCCTCCTTATATGTTTATCTGTCGGATTTTACAGTCAGTTTGTTTTGAAGTCGTTTTAAAGAATATCACACTGGCAAATGCAGCAAGTATAAAAGCATCGTCCATTTCGTGAGGTGCGTGCACAGTCAGCGGATGTGCGTGATGCAGCACCTGACGAAAGTATAAATCCTGCTTCTGTCACCTTCCTTCCCATTTTGATGCCCGTTTTAAACTTCAGCACACTGTCATGTGATTGGCTGATTGGATGTTTGATTAGCAGCTGATCCAGTGAGCACAATAAAGTGGCCAGTGAGTGCATGTTGACCTTCAGTCCAAAGTCATTTTTTACCATGCAGAAATGCAGTGTGCCCACCCCTCGACACGAAGAATTATCGAAAACGTGATGGAAAACAAAAATGAAAAAGAACATGCACAAGAACACAAATCATCCTGACCTTGTGTGAGAGAGGTGTCTGAAGCCCTTCGCCCCTCTCGGAAGCTGACTAATGAGTGATTGTGTCCCTGTGGATTGAGCGTCTGCAGGCAGGCTTCAGGCGGCTTCATGCTGAGGAAGACTGGAGCTGTGGAGCCGGCAGGTGTAGAGTTTAATGCTGGACTCTCTTCAGGAAAGCTGCAGTCGCTCTGAGTTGAACCCATACTGTACTGCGAGTCCATGCTGCTGAGGGACGGGTTCAGATCTGCACACACAAACTTTCATTGTAAATCAAGTGTATACTGCAGGGGTGTAAAGATTACTCCATCACCGCTGTAATGAGATGCCAACAGTAGTGATGTAGCATTACTGTCATCATTTTCAGTAATTTTTTAAATATTTTGCTCATAAAAGTCATGCTCATTGGCTCGTGTTTATGTTCTAATTTTGAACTACAACCTCAAATTAGAAAAAGTTTGGACAGTATGGAAAACACAAATAAACAAAGAAAGTAGTAATTTCCAAATTTACTTTGACTTATATTTCTTTGCAGACAATAAAACACACAATATTTCATGTTTTGTCCGGTCAACTTCATTTCGTTTGTAAATATATATCCTTACCTGTCATTCAGACCTGCAATACATTCCATAAAAAGTTGGGACAGGAGCAATAAAGGGCTAGTATATTGGTTATAATGATGTGATTTAAAACAGGTGATGTCAACAGGTGTGTGTAATTATGATTTGCTACAAAAGCAGCATCCAAGAAAGGTCTAGTCCTTTAGGAGTAAAGATGAGCCGGGGATCGCCAGTTTGCCAACAAATAGGTGAGAAAATTATTGAAATGTTTAAAGGAAGACTTTTCTGATTTAGGGTTCTATATAGGTAATAATCGTTTTGTTCTTATGTTGAAGGGTTTATTAAGAAAAAAAAAATTTGGGGGAAGTCTATTAAACATATGGGGGGATTCTTATTTTATGTATCTAATAATTGTTATTAATTAAATACTAAAAGTTACGTATTTTGTGATTATCATTATAGGTTGAATTTTATTGGGATCATTGTTTTTGGCTAATTCAGCTCTGGTCAAATGAAAGTTAAAACTACTTGGTGATCACATATTCGTTGAGAACTTTTAGTACTGCAACATAATGCATGATTTATATTACAAAGTATAAATACATTCACCTTATGCTGCATTGTCATTTTAAATTTAAAGTATTTGCTTTTTGTGTTTGTATTTTTCATCTTTGTACTTATGCAAGTCTTTAAGGTTATTTTAACAATGGACTTGGCTTATTTTCTTTCTTATTATTATGTAAAGCACTTTGAATTCCTACTGGGTCGCAATGGATGCTTTATAAGTACGCTTGGCTTGGCTTGACATGCAGTAAGTGACATGAGCAAAATCAAAGAGACACAAACTGTCTACTAAAAAAAAGCTCTCACTGCCTGTTAATGTTAGTGGAAAACATATCAGAAGTGGTTCATCTTCGATGCCCAGTTTTCTCTAGAACTCCATGTCAAGTATTCCATGCAAAAACTGATTTAAGAGCTAGTAGAGCAAGTGTCTGAGTCCTTAGTCTTTTTATGAATCCAGTAGGCATGAATAAGTAATCTTAAGTTTCAAGTTGTGTCATCATTTTGGTTATAAAGATATATGTATGTATTTGGACTTTCAGCTGTGAAAATTAAACCACACTGAACTGAACTAAACTGAACTTCAACTCTGCAAACTGAACTGACACAGTTTCCATTTACTAGAACTTTAATGTTAAGCTGCTTTGACAACATCTACATTGTAAAAGTGCTTTAGAAATAAACATGAATTGACTTCAATATATAGAATAATAAATGCAAGTAAAGTGTCTACTTAATGTTTGTAATATTCAAAAAATGGGAGAAATAATGTTTCACTATCATTCAGTGAAATTGAATTCTTATTCTGACCTATTAAATTTTTATATATATAGTTATGAATAAGCGAATTAATAACTTTTGGTAAATTGAATAAGATTTTAAATAATTAATTCCTGCTGAAATCACATCAAAGTGTGGACTTAAAATGAAAATTTAGCATTTTGTAGTTAAGCAGTGACTTTTAAAAACATTTAATATGATGTGATATAATATCTTTGGCTGCGTCCAAAGTCGGATACTTCCATATAGTACGCTAAAATGGTATACAAGCAGAGTATGTCCAAATTCAGAGAATTCGTCAAACAGCATGCGAGAAATACTCTGATAACCTACTACTTTCGGCGAGATTCTGAAGTGTGCATCCGATGCACTCTATGCTATCCCATGATACTCTACGAAAGAGTTTGTAAAAGGAGTGAAGCGACGCAACTAATGTAGGTAGGTCATGTGATCATGACAAAATGGCGGATTTAGAATGTCTGAATCTACTCGCATTCATATTGTATAAAACGCACTTTTATAACTGTTGAGTAGTAAATTTCAATTCAAATGCAGTACCTACTGATTAGTAGTAAGCGGTTTCGGACACAGCTAATATATTTAAAAATGTATTTTAATATATACTTTTTTTTGTATACTTTTTTTTTTTTTACATTTGACATTTTAGTGGCTGACCCTAAACATTGTATAACAGTCTTAATTTTTTTGCTAAGAAAAAGAATGCAGCAGTACACATCTTTTAATAGATTTGGACATTTTTCTATTATTTGCTTATGTATTTTATTAGTTATTTACAGCAATGTTATCATCATTCAAAAATTTGGAGTCAGTTTTTATGTTTTTTTAAAACTGTCTATTCATCAAATACTACTGAATAAAGTATCACAAATTTCCCAAACACTATTAAACAGCACAGCACTAATGATTTAAAATTTTTTACGTTTCTTAAGCACCAAATCAGCCTATAAAAATGATTCCTAAAGGGTCATTTGACACTGAAAACTTTAAGAATTAAAATGCTGAAAATTCAGCTTTACCATCACAGGATGTACATTTAATAATTTCAATATATTCATATATTTAACAAAAATATGACTCTTTTCATTGTAAGGGTTAATCAGATAATTGCAATTATAAGTGTAATCTTCAAGGGGACCATTCCGAAAAAAAAAAAAAAAACTGCAAAATTGTGACTGCAATATCTATATTTATTAGACTCGGTTGTGTTTTGCACACAGTACTGACCTGTAAGGGGCTGCGCAGCAGGTTGGTTGGTGACCTCAGACAGCGTGTGGCGGCGCTGGCTGAATCGAGCTGTATGAAAGGCGGCGAGGGGAACAGTGTGCTCTTCCTCCGCTTCAATGCCCTCATCAATGGATGTCTCCATAACGTTGCTAGGCAGCGAGCCGCTGACTTTGCGGACCACGACTGGAGGAAGCGGATCCAGCAAGCAGCCGTCCACCTGACATACAAATAAACACACACTGTTGGCAAAACTATTTTGGGCTCAAACAGCTCAGCACTCTCCAGTTTCAAGATCTGACAAAGAAATCAAAACTAAGAGTCAATCAATGTCACTTCCAAAAGAGACAAACAAAATGCTTTGTAATGGAAATGAAAGAAGAAATATCAGTGAATAAAAGTTAAAGTCTTGGAATAGAAATTAATCTACAATGCTGATTGATTTGTGTTGGGACAACATGAAGGAATCAAACTAACTGATTAATATTTACAAATTAAAGTGGATTGACCATAAAACAATTAAATTATCCCAAAACAAACTCAAGAATTGTGTTGTTTCGGCTCATATTAATAGAGTAGTTTGAAAAAACAACAAATGTCATTTTTTCACAGTGTATCTGACAAAAGTCTTGGTGCCTATCCAAGTTTTAGGAACAACAAATAATAACTTGACTTCTAGTTGCTCATTTGGTATTAGAAGTGACTCTTATAAAAGGCAAAGGCCTCTAGATTACGCTTGTTTATACCAAAATAAAATATGATCATGCCTTAATTTTTAATGATTTAATTATATCACTAAGGTCTGACTTTGCTTAGACAAACACTTAACAGAAATAATGTACAGTAAGGAATATAAAGTCATGGAGCAGTGGAAAAAGAAAGAATATTGTGTATGACTCCCATGAGCTTGGAGGACTGCATCCATACATCTCTGCAATGACTCAAACAACTTAATATTAAAGTCATCTGGAATGGCACAGAAATATTCTTGCAGGACTCCCAGAGTTCACCAAGATCCTTTGGATTCGTCTATCCTGCTGAAGAATTTGCCCTCTCTTGTGGTTTGTAATGTAATGGGCAGCACAAATGTCTTGATACCTCAGGCAGTTGATGTTGCCATCCACTCTGCAGATCCCTCACACTCCCCCACAGTGAATGTAACCCCAAACCATGATTTTTCTCCATTAACCTTGACTGATATCTGTGAGATTCTTGGGTCCATGCGGGTTCCGATAGGTCTTCTGCAGTATTTGTGATGATTGGGATGCAGTTAAACAGATGATTCATCTGAAAAAATCTACCTTCTGTCACTTTTCCAAATGATCGACTAAAAGTCAAGTTATTATGTGTTGCTCTGACAGTTGGAATCAACGACAAGACTTTTGTCAGGTGTTGTATTTTTCTTTGCTTAAATGCATGGTACAGTATATGTCTTCATTTGAATGTTTCATCCTTGCGGTTCCTTTTCTTGACTTCCCTCCAATGCTGCATGCTGAACCTCTCCAACCAGCCTTATCTGCATAAAACTTACTCCTTTCTTACATTTGAATGCCAGCTTACATTCACATCTGCCTGAATCTGTCAACTCATCATGTTTTTTTTTCTTTTTTGATAATCTGTTTCTCTCAGATGTATCAGATGTACATCACATTGTAGAACAAAGGATCTGTCACTGTTCCCTGCTTTAAATGACACTCTTTTCTTCACAGGCAATTGTATGGCATCTGAAGATTTGGAACGCAGTATACTAGTAACAGGCTACTGCTTTTATTTAATTGAGTTGTGATTTCTTTAAAGTTTTAAAAATGTCAGGTTTCATTTCATAAAGATTCAAAACTTTATTTTTATGTTCAATGAAAGAGATAGATTATTAATTTGACATTATTAGCTGTTATTTTATTAACAAGAGTAATGTGTATTTTAAATAATAAAGCATATACCAGAATATGTCTGTTGTTCTTAAAATCAGTGTCCGAAATTCATTTTATTTTACATAAATATCAGCAAATATGATATTTTTACAGAGAGAGAGATCAGTTTTTAGATTTTCTAAAAAGCAAGGGTTCGTATTTTTTAATAATAACAGAGTTAATGATTTAAATTTTTTATTGTTTCCTCACAGCAAGAAGGTCACTGGCATTTCTGTGTAGAGTTTGCATGTTCTCCCCATGCTGGTGTGGGTTTCCTCCGGGTGCTCTGGTCAGTCCAAAGACATGCAATACAGGTGAATTGGCTGAACTTAATTGGCCGTAGTGTATGAGTGTGAATGTAAGAGAGTGTGGGTGTTTCCCAGTGATGGGTTGCAGCTGGAAGTGCATCCGCTGTGTAAAACACATACTGGATAAGCTGGCGGTTCATTCCACTGTGGCGACCCCTGATGAATAAAGGGACTAAGCGAAGGAAAATGAATGAATGAAGATTTTAACAACACTTGCATGTTCATAGTTCTCTGATGTTAGTTAAGGGTCACATAACCAAGAATTGACACTCTTTACTATGTTAACTCGCAACGCTACTTATGAGGTGGACATTTAATCTGTGCAAGTTCATCTATAAATGAAAAATACAAAATCTCAGCTCAAGACACTCTCATTGCAGCATTTGATGTACTTTTCCAGCATGAAAAAATGTATTTTTTAGATTGGAAATTCTTTGCTTAATTAGAAGTACATTCATAGGAATTATGCCATAATTAGTCCAACTTTAGGCCTTCAATTAAGTTTTTTTTTTCTGAAAAAAATTTTTTTTAGCGCCTGTTAACACTATAGGGAAGTCATGCATGCATGAAGGTCTCATCTATTGAGCTGGTTATCTGAAAACAGCATGGTGCTAGGACAGGAACTGAGAACCACTGAAGTAATGCTCACTTAATTATCACTAAATGCCCTGGCAGCAGCAAATAGCTTTGGTTTTAGATTTCATTTTAATGTTTAACTTAAGACTTACAAGATATTTACCCTGTTAATAATTACAGGAACTGCTATAAAAAAACCTCCATGTTATTTCCCCACTGAGCCTGGTTTTTCTCAAGGTTTTTTCCTTCACTTTCTTCAATTGGTGAAATTTTGTTCCTCACCACTTTCTTGCTTGGTTTCGGACTTGTGGAGCTGCGCATCGATGGATTTGCTTTTCAGTGTATGGACTTTCAGCAGTGAATTCGAAATCACACTAAACTGAACGAAACTGAATTTCAATTGTGTTTGGACTAACACAATTTCTATGTTAAGCTGCTTTTTTCCATGTTAAGTACTATAGAAATAAAAATATCTTTACATATATCATAAAAAGTGCTTATTACACTTCTTTTAAATTTATTGCAAATAAAAATGTTTTTATCTAGAAAAAAATGTGATCTAAAATGTGATTAATCATGATTTAAAAAAAAAAAATCATAGTTACCCTGCACTCATTCATTCATTTTCTTTCAGCTTAGTCTGTATTTCAGAGGTCGCCACAGTGGAATAAACCGCCAAATATATCAGCAAAAAATTTACATAGTTCTACACCCTTCCAGCTGCACACACACACACACACACACACACACACACACACACACACAACGGACAATTTAGTTTATTCAATTCACCTGCATGTCTTTGTACTGTGGGGAACACCGGAGCACCTGGAGGAAACCCACGCCAAGAACTTGCAAACTCCACACAGAAATGTCAAATGGCCAAGACGGGACTCAAACCAGCAACCTTCTTGCTGTGAGGCGACAGTGCTAACCACTGAGCCACCATGCCTCCCGTTACCCAGCACTTATTTTAGCTATTTAAAAGTGTATTGCTCATTCATTACAATAAAGTTTCATTAGTAAATCCATTTAGTATCATGAGCTAATTATGAGCACTATACTTGTACAGCATTTATTACTCATAGTTCAACATGTACTAATGTATTATTAACATCCAAATTCATGCTTGTTAAAATGAGTTAGCAATGAACAACTGTATTTTCAAAAATTAAGGTTAACTAACATGAGCAAAAGCAATAATAAAAGTAGTGTTCGTTATTTATGTTAGTAATTGCATTAACTAATACAACCTTATTGTAAAGTGTTACCAATTTATTTTAGCAAGGTAAATTGCCAGTATTTATGCTGTTACATTTTCTTTATCAAATACAGAATTCTGTCATGAAACTGCATGTGCAGGCTCTGGATTTGATGGGATAGGCTTATGTGAAGGCGATAGCTGTTCCCTCATCATTCAACTACTAATGTATTTGCACTAGCAATCCGCACCACGTTTGTAATATATATATATATATATATATATATATATATATATATATATAGTATAAAACATCTATAATAAGTGAAGATAATATTTCACTCTCCATATTTGTGTTATTTGTCTGCTTATTATTTGAAGTGAGACTGGATTTAAGTCAAACTACATATTAACATCTTTTTGTGCATGTATAAACATAACGCAATATTTGCACAACTGTGTTTATACAGAAGAAACAGGTTAAAGTTTATAACTTTGTGTTTCAATGGGGTTAAATACGGTCATACTACAAGGTTGGCACAAATATATGGCTCATCCAGTCACTACAAGGTCATGCTAAATGTGTTTGACTGATTCAAGCTGCATCCGAAAGCATCATTTGCTTGTTTGTGTGCTTGTGAGAGGCTCGTGCACAGTCTTAGATCTTGTCCTTACATAGAGGAAACTTTAAATAACTCATCATTTTGCATCATGCATAAGTGAGAAAGGCATCCAGAATTTGTTTTCACCCATTTGGGTTCCCTTGAATAAGTCACTAATGAGCATATAGACACTTTTTTACATAGTTTCTTCTTCTTTTCTTGGTTCTGTTAATGTGTGGGTTTGTCACTGTAATATATTTTGTGTATTTTGGGTGCTGCAGGTCTGTATTATAACCTCTTAATTAGTTGTCTGTGTGAAGTCATAATTAGTTGTTTGTCAATATAAAACCCTTGGGAAAATCAGGATCTTTATATTTTATAATACTGCTTTATCATGTTCCAAGTGGCACATTCATTGAAACATTAATTTAGATTTATTTACAGAGGATGGCAATGATATATTCATGTTTCCCATTTATACTTGCTCAGGTGGTTGCTGGCTTTGTTTATCAGCCTGCAACCTGAAATCTTTTGTAACAAACACACATAGTATACGTTTTTAGAGCTAAGTTGGTCTGCAAGGTAGCCCAGGTACACATAGATAGTAAAATATGCAGTCTCAT